CCAAAGATTGAACGGTTATTGGTCGTAAGTAAAAAGGATTGTTGTATTTGCGTACACTTTCTTTCAGTTCTTCCATTCTATGCTGAATATTTTCATCTGATGTTGGAGTCTTTTGTATGTCGGCGAACATTTTTCGATATTCTTCTACTATGTCAGCCGAATTTTTCTTAGACTCTTGGAAAGATTCCATATTCTCCGCATACACTGTTGAGGGTCAAGATTTTTCGGCTGTTCCAAATCTTCATCTAGTTCTGTGAAGTTAGTTTCCAAAGGAGGGACTTGTTCGTTTCCTTCAGGCTCTTCTAGCTGTTGTTGCTGAACTATTTCTTCCATGTCTGGTTGTATCTGAACTTCTTCCTGTGGAGTTTTTGTACCTCATCTGCTGGCATTTCATATATTCCGAGACCGTTTTTAAAAAGTTCCCTATCTAAGTCATCCGGACTCATAAACCTTTCTTCTTTCGTTCCGTCTCTATTTTTTACGCCTTTCATGAAGAGAGTTGAATTATCATTTAGCTCTGACACCAAATATCTCGGAGTAAATTCAGTCATGTCATTTGGATGATATGCTATTAAATCATATCCCTTAGCGAGCTTGTATTTTCCAGGTTTGAAATTATATCCCATTTGGTGCTGAACCATAAAGCTAAATAGGTTCGGGTCAGTATTTCCTTCCTTGAACTTTCTAATAGCTTCTTTATATCTGTCACTAAAGTCAAGAGTATCTGGGTAACCATAGTCTTCCTTAAGCATTTTTAAGAATTCTTGGTTTCCTTGTCTCTACTTCTTTTATGTCCTTGCTCTGTTTGTGGTTGTTGTTGTGCAGGGTTGAACTGTTGGTTGTTGTGCAGTGTTTTTAACTTGTTGTTGCTGTGCAGTGTTTTGAACTGTTGGTTGCTGTGCAGTGTTTTGAACTGTTGGTTGTGGTGCAGTGTTTTGAACTGTTGGTTGTGGTGCAGTGTTTTGAACTGTTGGTTTTGGTGCATGCCTATGTCTGTGTCCATGTGACGATGTAAATGTTTTAGGTAGTCCTGGTGCAGGTGCTTCTCTTGGAGGGTTTTGGTGGTATATAAGTTCCACCAGCTGGCACATATGTTCCATCTGCAGCATAATGTCCTACCTGACTTTTCGTTTTTAAGAAAGCATTTACTAGGTCTGTTTTGGTCTGTTGTAACTCTTTTTCTTGACTTTCCACAACAGTTGCTCTAACGGCGTCATAGGCACTTTGAACTGCCTGTCTCGTTGCTGCACTTGTTATTTTCGTCATATTTTGTGCTACTTCTCTTAACTCTTTGTCGAAACCTTCAGACTTCAGTTTCTTTCCAGATGAGAAGTCGTTCACTAGTTTCACCTTACTATGAAGAGAGCTTCGAAGGCGTTCTTAAAGTCAGCATTCATTAAAGCTTCATTTGAACTGTCTTCATCCGCTTGTATTTTTGTCCTTATTGACCCTATAAGTTGGGCTGCTTTAGCGTTGGCTTGGGCATCTAACCAGTCATTATTAGCTTTTATTATTCTGCGCTTTTCATTGCCTTTTGCATGGCTGCGTCGTTATTTTTACTTTCTTGTGCTAAGTTTTCATACTGTACGGTTTGGTTTTGCAACTGTAAAAGTTTTTCTGCCTTTACATTTGCTTCAACTCTTTTTTTATACTCATCGCTATCCATATATGTCTTCAGGGCTTTTTGTTTATTTCTTCATCTTTCAGTACTTTATATGAGTAGTATGGTTTTTCAAATTTATAACATCTTGTTCCATTTTTGCTACTTCTGCTGCTTTTTCTGACACTTTTTTCGCATATTCCTCTGTACTTAGTTCTTTCAGTTGTTCTTCTTTCTTCTTTTTCTCTACGTTTAACTCATTGAGTTTCTTTGTGTGTCTGTCATATTCTAGTTTCTTTTCGTTTTCACTTATTTGTTTCTGTATGTCTATGTTTGACTTTTTGACATCTGTTATTTGATTTTTGAGTGAACTCAAATTCATTTGACTTTGAGGGTTATAAGCTGTTCCGTCTGCAGCTCCACCATAGCCTGCCATTTTCGCTAAAAGTGCCGCTCTTAAACCTCCACTCTGTGCACCAATAACTCGGTTTAAAAGCATAGGGTTGCTTGACATTTGTTGCAACATAGTGGGGTCATTCATAATTTGTTGTTGCAACTGTTGTTGTGGTGTCAGTTTTACTATTGGATGTTTCAATGCTCCCTTCCTCTTACGTATATTCTTACGTAGCTTACGTGGCATTTTAAGTGAAGTTAAAAAGCGGTTTTTGACAGATGTTTATATGACACTTTTTGTTCAGCACAAAAAACTACTCGGTCAAAGTGTTGTCAGTTTTGTAAAATAACCGTCCTATCTCATTCTATAAGGAGAAAAGGCTTCTCAAAGTATACTTCCTTGGAACGCCTGTAACTTTTCCTGTAGCGACGATAGACCCTTACTTGTCCGGACAAAGTTATACTAAACATCTTCAGGGCTAGAGGGCACGAAGTGCCTGGAGGCCCCACTACCTTTTTTTTTTTAAATTTCAAGTTAAATTTTAATTTTGATAAATAATTTAAATTTCAAAATATCAAGTTCAGTTCGACTATGTATGTAGTAATTCCTCAATAAAGTGCCAAAACCCTATTAAAATATATGAACATTTTCAACATTTTAATGTTTTTATTTAAAAATTTGATGGAATATGAGCTTCAAACAATTATTATGTAAATAAAAATAATTAAATATATGTATTTATTCGTATTACAACCGTAGTAAGTCGATTCTTCTTTTCTTCTACTGAGATTTGAATTTGATTTCGAATTGTAAAGAGATTCAAAGGGAAAATACTAGCGGATAAAAACTACCTCCATGAAAGGGTCATAATGGACTCAAGTTGTATTTTTTGATATTTTTTGCTTTTCGAGCCTAAAATAGGTAGCCAAGATAATGCCTAAAAATAAGGTTCTAAATTCTGAAGTTGACATGATCCTCTCGTGTTCACCCTTAATGCTAGAAGTTAGTGATGAAATGCAATTTTGGAACATATTTCAAAGTCAAAATTGAAGAAATATGAAAAAGGATAAAGAAAAACAATTCAATACTATTATATTTGATCTTTAATCATCAAAATAGTTTTAAGGTCATATTATTATTGTAGGATTTTTATTTATTTAATATTTGGATTTTTTAGAAGATTTTAGAGATGTCAGTCTCAATTTATAAAAAAGCGGTTAATGTGTCGTGAGCTTGAAGTCTAAAATTGCAAATACTGAACTTTTTTAAAATTTGATTGATCAAATAAATTATACATTATATCAGCATTCTAAAACAATTTTTAAAATCGAGTTTGGAAAATACAAAATATCATGAAAAGTGACAAAAGAAACAAATCGCCTATATGTTATAATATTTATAATATAAATTTGAATCATAGTGTTGATAGACATTTATTAGTTAACACTAATATATAAATAAATGCATAATGTAGCACATTTTTCTGGGTCCAGGAAATTTGACGGGTCCTGGCGGTTTTGTTTCAATTTTTGAAGAGTGTGTTTGATTTTGATAAGAGAACGATATAAAACCAATTGTAAATTTCGTAGACTATAGAAGTGTATCAACTCTAACCATCATATCTAAGCTAAACTTGTTTCAACGATTAATGTTCATCCATAGAGCATCTTAATAATGCAGTTGTACTTTGATCATCGATATTTGATATTTAGTGAAAATAATATCCCTCTATTAAGGAATAACAATTCTACAAAGTCTGATTATAATAATATATTTTCTCAAAATAGCATCCTATGTAGATAAATATTGTTTATTATTTAGAATTTGGAATTAGAAAAATTCATTGATGCATAAAAACATTTCCAACAAGTTAAAAATACTATATTAGAAATATTTGGCGTTATTTTGTCAAAGACTTAATCAAATTACCAAGATAATTTACAGCAAAAATACATTTTGTTCAGTAATTATTTTTTTGGAAAAATCCGACTTACACAATCCATGTCGTGAAGGGTGTATGCCAAAATTATAGCCTCGATGTTTTTTTATATTATGATGATAGGTATTGGGAATTGTGATGGATCTTATGTGGTGTAAAGTGAATATTATTGTAAATTATTTCTGAGCATGAACTAATAAAAGAAAAATACTATTCAGCCACTAAATTGAAATTTAAAAATTCAATTTCTAGGACTATTATTAAAGACTTGTAAACACTTTGTGATTCTAAAATCATTCTTTGGCAATAAAAAGTTCTCTCAAGAATGTTTCTGTATGAAAGTTCACATTCCCATTTGTAATAAAAATTTTGCACTTTTCTAATTTGCCGCGTCAAATGTCAGGCGGGAGGCTATCAACTAATTAAAGATTATATAATATTATTATATAATGAAATAAAAATACGATAGAATGTCGGGGGGAAATGAGGGGAAAAGTGCGAAAACGTGGCTTTTCAGTTTTTAATTTTTAGTTGATACACCTCTTAGACTATTCAAAATTCCATAAAAATTCATCATATGCAATATTTCATATATAAGTGTTTCTATGGACAACTGTTTTAAATAATACCCAGGACCCTGGAGAAAATGTGGGACCCAAAAAAATATGCAACGTTACAAAGATATATTAAAATTATCGAGTTTTATTTTTTGAGTTTTGAATCTCCAGAATTTCCCATATAAACATATATTAATTTTAGCAAAATAGGGCGAAAATTGAATGAGTGAAGCGGTTTTCAATTTTCGAACTATTTTGTAATTCTTGAAGAAGATTGATAGCTTTACAAAATATGTTCCACATATTTTGTAAAGCTTTCAATCTTGGTCAAGAATTATAAAATATAGAAATAAAATCAGATTCTACAATGCTTTTTGAAATGTGTCCAGGTGTTTGTATATATAATACACGTTTATTTCTATCGGCGCGCAGAGCGCGCCAATAGAAATGAATGAATAGGGCTGTAATAAAAAGTGACATCAGGAACTTCCTCGAAATCTCTAAAATAAAATGGAGAAAATAATTGATAATATTGTAGAGCAATTTAGCACCACAAAGAGTATTGTTAATAGTAAACCTCAAAACAATGAAGAATCATGTACTTCTGAAGAGAAAAACAGTACAATTTCCATAATTCAGCAATTTATTACGAACATGAAAAACGAAAATTACGATATTGACAGAGATAACGAAATGCTTATCAGTATATCAAACATTTGCTGCAAAATGAATCAGCGAGATTGTTTAGAATTATTCGATTCAGAAACATTTGATATTTTAACATCATCATTTTTATTATCTACACCTTCCATTGAGATTTACTCGCATCTTTTAGACATCCTAGCAAGTATTAGTATCTATTATCCAACTCTACAACCATTTTTATCAAAAGAGTTCCAAGATGCGTTGTTTTCAGCTAACGAAAGAGGTGGACAGATCAAAGTATCAGCGGAAATCATATTTACTAACCTTGTCAAAACGAAAGAATATTTTGAAAATTATCCTATGGAATTTATCCTTGATTTCTGGATGAAAATGATTGATATGGACTTAAAATCCGAATCGTACGCATTTCTTAACCATGAAGTCACAAATGATGAAGATATAATTGAAGATTCATTTAATTTAGTAAAACTCGATTTACTTAACAAAGGAGTTTGTTTGTTCCTCAATGATAACTTATCAGTAGCTTCTATGTCCAATTTACTGCACGGAATTTACATAAATCTTCGAAGCCTTAATTTGAACACTTCATCTTCAATTATTCGTGATATCTTTGTAGACGAGTTCATGGAGAAGTCCCATGAGATCTATAGTAACAGGAAATTCATTTTAAACACGTATTTTATTTTCCTTGAATTAGTTAACAGAAACGTCTACTCCGAGCAACTTTCCGATGAATGTTTGGACTTGGTTACATCGGCAATGGGTAAAGAACAAGATTCGGAGATATTTATGTCATCAATATTATATTACACGAAAATGATCGAAAAAAGGAAAGTTCCTTTAGACAAACAGTTCATTCATGATGTTTCTGACTTAATTGATAACTCTCCTTTTAATGTCAGAATTGCCGCAATAAATTTGATAAAAATCACAGCAGATTATCAACCAGAACTGTTATCTGATATAAGTGGTGAGATCATTGAAGTCATTGCTCAAATTGTTTTGTCATCTGACCCAATAATCTCTGTTGCAGCTTTGAAAACACTGAATACTCTTCATTACAGTTGTAACGAAATTGTTGCAAAGTATTTGATTGAAGAATTCGACCAATTTGAGGAATTCCAGGAAACATTGCAGGAAATTATAGAAAATGAGGATTTGTCTCAGAAAAAGAGAGATATGGCCTTCAATTTTCAGTGTCTCTTAGATAAGGAAATGAATCAATCAAATAACTATAATAATGATTAATTTTTTTAATTTTTCCGCATTGTTCTCAATTTACATAGAAAAATTGAATGAACTCATTGAATTATACGGTAAAATTAAAAAACAAAACAATTATGTCTATATGTATATGTTTGGAATAAATGTTATCATGTTTTGAATCTATTGATCATTCTTTTCATATTATTTTTTGAAAGATGCAATAAAATGAATATAAAGATTGTATTTACTAATTTTTCTAATACAATATATATGTGATATGCTATATACAAGTAGTTATGTATCAAAATGTCATGCAAAATATTAGCTATTTACAAATATCCTTTGAATTGATTTTGAAATTATATGAATTTTGTGTATTGAGCCAAATGGCATAGCAGTATTGAACAAATGTAACATTGTTTTAGCTTTTATTCTTTGTTGCATTGAATTTGTCCATTATAAATCCATTAATTAGGATATATCATGAGTGAATAATAAGAATTTATATCCAATTCATTGGACATGTAAAAATTCTCAAATGTGTAGTCAATGAACATAAAAATAAAAATGATTAAATAAAATAAATACAAACAATTTATAATATACAAACAAACAATATTAATTCAATGCATAATGGTATGCTTTGACTTATATACCGAATGTCTTCCTAAAATCAACACTATCTAAGATGCATGGGATAGCTGAAAGTGATGAGAGGTATGAATCAAGATTTTCATATCTTTTCTGTAAGAAATCAATGCTTGTGTTGAAAAGATACTTCTTTGGTGGGAATGCTGGGAATTCTACATTGTTTTGGATCTGTTCATGTAATTTTCTGTTCAATTTTTCTAATTGAGAATATCTCATAGCTAAGTTGTGAACAACAACCTTGTTTTCAACTAATACACCAACTTGGATCATATAATAAGCAACATTTGTTTTCTTATCTATGTAGAAGTACTCTATGTGGATGTAAAATGGCTTCTCAGTTGCAGATTGGAATATCTGAACCTGCTTTGACTGGCTGAGAGATGCGATGGTCATGAATGGCATAATCGATAAATATGTTATTCATGTTATCTCCGAAATTGAATACCGAAGACCAGATTTCTATTCAATTTTTATGTCATACTTCCCTCTCTTTTTTCTGAGGCAATTGAAAAATAGTAATTGCTGTATATGTAATAATACGTAATATTTAGCAATTTTTGATTTTGGATTAGAATTTCAGTTCCCTGATGATCTCGCATAAAAGAGCCAAAATCGCTTGGACTATTAGTTAGAAGAGTAGATATGATTGTTTAGACGACAATTAACCATGGAAGTTATAGTAAAATTATGATTCATTTTCAAACGTTGTATTTTAAGTAATGCTTCATATATTTCAGATGTATGATGAAGGTATCGTGTAATATTGCAATTGTGGGCTTCGATCTATACAAACAAGATTTCAAATGAGTGGCTTGCATAAAATTTTATATGTTCAATAGGAAATATGATATTAACTACCTGCATTTATGCATATACTTTGTGAAATAAAGGAAAATCTCATATATAAACTGCGAATATCACAGGTATTGAAATGGATAATTCAACTTCGTTGCAGAATCATTTTATTGATCACTTGATTAATGGACTAAGCTTTGGATTTCAATATTTTGTTTTTGATTAAAATAATTTTTTCAAAATTAAACAGTTTAAAACAAATACAATCTATAAAAATATAATATAACAGAAAACTAAAAGTCATTATCCAATAAAGCTTCTTTGACTCTGATATTTACCTTATAAACAGTAACATCATCCGGCAAAGGCTGAATATCTGCTTTTCGTTTTTTCCTAGGAGTTTTAGCCTCTGGTGATGGAGGAGTTGGTTTTGGTGGCTCAGAATCTGTTGAAGTAGATTCATAAGCTTGTATTTGCTCATTTATTGATTGTTCGGTATATTCAGGGTTCGGATCTACTTGTCCCATTACTATTGATTGAGAATCGAAGAATAAATCATCTTTAATGTTATTAAGATATTGTTGCCACATATCAGCATCAAAATTAGATGGTTGATTGGGTTCAATCTGCAATGACTGTAACTCTGTTGTTTCTGGTGTTTTTTCTGGTATAGGTTGAGGTTCTATTGAATTAATGTCAATTGTTTTTTGTTCTTGACAATCGTCTTCAATATCATTGCTACAATCATCTGTTGATTGGTCGTCGTTTTGTGTTTGATTATCTTGCTGCCGAGGTATTGATACTTGTGTAACCAAATTTTTTTCTTCGGGTTCATATTTATTAGAGCTTTGTGGTGGATGATCATGAGTTAAAAACTTATGCATTTCGCTTATATCGTATTTTGCTGGTTGTATCTTTTCTTTTGGTAAACTAATGTACATCGGAATTTCATTTGCTAAATTAACAAGAGCTTTATTTAGCTTGCTGTCTTCAAATGTCTTAATTAAGTCAATGCTTTTGTCTAAAAGTATCTCACTAGCTGCGTATAAACTTCCTTTTGTAAAAAGCATGGCTGTGAGACAGTCAATCTTATTCTGATTGATAGTAAGTAGATAAGGAAGCTTTCTTCTTAAATCATTCTTGGTAATTGTGTACCTACTATTAAAATTGAAAATAGTTGTTAAAGGTTGAGTGAATTTGATCAAAAACATGCCCCCATTATAATATGGGATGTTTTTTACTAATGTTTTTTCATTAACTGTTACAAAATTATACTGTATTTCAATAAATTTTGGATCGATATTAAATTTTGATGCCAATAACGCCGATATTTCTTGAAATGTGCTATTAACAGATGCATTTAGTATAATGGTTACCCGAGATGGAGTGTGAAATCGAAGTGTTAACATTAATATAACAAATTCAAAAATTGCAATAAAAATAAATGAGCAATAAGTGGTAAAAATGTCTTTGTCTATCTGTTTATTCATGAGTTTTGTCCTTCTTTAGAGTTTATTGTAGATTTTTATTTGAAATTTTTAACTACATCAAAAATTATACATATGCGAATGTCCCTAGAAAGGCATTCAATAACAGCAGCGAAAAGGAGTCAATTTTCATTGATATTAATATTCTTGAAATATTAGTTCTATTTTTGCTATTGGAGTATATGTATTCTAACCCAATTTGCAATAAAAATTATGGTAGTGCCTTGATTGTCTAAGAATCAGATAAAATTCAAATTCAATATTCGTTTTTACTCAAAAATCATATAATAGTGCATTGTAAATTAAAGAGTTGAATAATCTATCAAATATAAATAGTTTATTCACATTGGAACATCCTAGCAAAAACAACAGTTACAACAATAAAAATAATAAGTGATATAGCCCAAGCTGTTACTTTGAAAGTTCCAACATTTAACAGACTTTGAAGGGCACTGAGCTGTTGGCCATCGTAACTACTAAAATCGTAGTGTTTAGCGAATACAATCATTGAAATACCAACGCAAAATCCGAATAATATAAATATGTATTCTAAAATTATCATAGCAAGAATATAGTTGCCATTTACTGTGCATGCTTTGCATTTTGGTAAAAGAACTATTATTAATTCGACAATAAATAGGGAAATTACAATGCAAGATACAAGCAATCCGAGAATTACTAATACTTTGACGTTAATATATTTGTGGAAGATATCATGATCGAAAATATCTTTGAAGTCAGTATAAAATATCGCAAGCAATATTAAAATTACAAGCCCGAGGCCAGCAACAATGCCTGAGGCTTCAATAAAATAAATATGCTTCAGGAAATCTGAAGGCGTCGGTAAACGAAGCCTAAGTCCCATTTTCCCTTTTATGGTGTAACGTCTCCGTTTAGTATTTTTTTATACTGATAGATAATTAGTTATTAAATAAACTATGAAACGTAAGTAAATAAAATTTTCCATATGAAATACTCTATTTCTTATTAATTTCAATATGGAATTTTGGAAATCTGATAAATATCATAGCGTGACACATTTAAATCTCTAAGTTACAAAAATGTATTATTAATGATATATATAAAAATGAAATTAGACAACATAAGTTTGTCCAGATATTCGCTTATTGGATCCCAATGGAAAGATGATGCAAAACAAATGAAGTATACTAATACAATAATAGATATTTTGTATCAAAAGCAGAATAGCAATTTGTAAATTTCATATAAAAAAATTGTCAAACTTGAAAAAAAAAATGAATGATGAAAAAACTTTTTATCAGAGGGTAGATCAGATAATTTCCTCTAAATCTATGTCAGCACAAGATTTACAGGATTTATATCAGTTCTTAACCGCTTGTTCTTCAAGTTCCCAAGAAAATCAATTTCTTGGTCAAACTTATTCAACTATTCACAAGGAATTAACAAAAGAAAAAATAAAATCACTCTTTGAAGTCATTAAATCGACATTCAAAACAGGAGATCCATGTTTTCACCTCGTTTTAATCGTAGTAATGCATTTAATTGCACAAGACTTACCATTTTTCGTTAAAGATATTCTTACTCCATTGTTTGACTCGAAACTCGACGAAGAATTATTGATTTGTGCATACATTTCCAGGCAAATTTTAGATCCATGTACTGGCTTTCTTAAATTCGCAAGCCATGATGGAAAAGAAAATCACGATTATTGGGGCAATGGAAGCGAAGATCTGAAAACCGAATTTGGCGTTGCTATAACGAAATTACGCAGTCTTGTGTTTAATAAGGGCGCTTCTCTCCTCAAAGCTACTACATCGAAAGACCGTAATGGAAATATTTTTTACAATGTATCAATCCTTGCCAATATTCAGAACGTTATTGTTCCACCAAATTACCGCGTTGGCGATTTTTTATGCGGGTTCCCACGCAGGCCAGAGATCGCTATTAATCTTTCTACGCTTCAGGATCAATCAATCTTTACTCAACCCCATAAAATTGAACCAGATAAAATTTCTCCCGCCATTCAAACATGGGCCAAGATGTTTGGATTCATGAATTCTATTGGTGCCAAGGAACTTAAATTGCAAATGGATTTCGCATCAAATGTTGTTACAAAAGATACTCCATGTGTTCTGTTTCTGAAGCTCATTCCGTTCCTCAACATCAGTGAATTTCCAGCAGATATTTTAAGAAATGCAATCGACCAATTAATTTACTCAAACGTTGAATTCAGCTCGTTTATTTTGATATTAATTCAGTCGATCTTACTTATTTACCCAGATACAACTAATATAATATTCGACAAATTATTCGAGTTCGTTGATCAGATCGGAACTCTTACTGTTTCTCAACTTTATTTGTTAATTTTCTCAATTGGCCGGTTTATGGAAATTCTTTACTGCCACAAAGTCAGGAAACTTACGAACGAAGCTCTTACGAAGCTAGATTCCCTTACTCTCCTTGCTTTTTGCGCTCCATACAATGGAATCCGAGATGGAGCCCTCAGATTAGCATTTGCCATATCTAGATACGAAACAGGTATCAGAGAGAACACAGTTTATTCAGTATTTAACTCCTCCTCGAAACAAATTGAACAAGAATTCGTATCTTCAATCAAATGCTTCCCCCTTATCTCCCTTCTTCATCCCACAGATAACATCACTGCCCCTACAGTCATAGAAGTCATGAGATGCTCGGAAGAACTCATTTGGCAGATAATGTTGAGCGGATTAGCCAAACAAATCACAAAAAGCCTTGACCAGAACCTCATTCGTCAATTCAAGCATGACGCAATCAAGTTGCTTGAGACAATGGACAGTTCCAGCTTCTCTAGAAGATATGCAATAAATATTCTTATGAATTTGACGATAATTCCTGTAGAATCGAATGACAAATCGACCATTCGTATTGTTCTCGATAACGCCGCAGCTTGTTTAAGCGAACTTTACCCAGATGTCATATTCTTATTCACAACTTGTCCTGAAACAATGTTCCTTCCAATTATTGAAACTCTACTTCACTCAGACGACATATTAATCCAAGTTACAGCAACAGCAACCTGCGGATTGACTTGGAATTCCCAGTTTTCAAAGGCATTGGATAACCCTCAATTTTTGTCACTTTTCCAAACCTTATTTAGAAAACTGACAAAAGATGTTAACAGCTTTTTGATAGACGAAAGTATCAAGACGAAAGATGTTAAGAAGGATGTCAGTACAAGTATTATTTATAACCATGTTGTTTTACGAGATTTCGTTTTAACAACATATCAATTATTAGATTTCTTGACGAAAAAATTTTCATCAAGACCTAAAACACCTTTCCCATGTTTTGATATCATCACTGATGTTGAACAGAAAGAGTTATTGAACATGGAATCCACGTTTGATTCATTGATTATCATTGCGACAACAGAGTTCAATGATCCAGACAATAATCTCCATTTTTACACAATTAGAACGATTTCTTTGTGGTTGTGTTGTTGCAGATTGAGGAAGAGTGATTTAATGAATACAAATGATTTCATTGACCAGCTCGAGAAGTTCAATGATGTGATGCTATTGGCGAATTCATTGATCCATCAATTCAACGATTTCCTTCCAATTTTCTTGAAGAGATCAATCCAAGAAAATGGTTCTCTTTATTTCGACGCTCTCTGCATTTTCTTCAGAGCACCTCATAAATTTGCGACAGGACCAACAGCTGTATTGGTTTCTCAATGGGAATCAATAGATCCTGAGCCGAATGAAGAGATGCAAAACGCAATGCAGTATTTGTACGAAGAAGGAGGAAACTTTTTAGCAATGTGTTTCTTTTATTTGGTTTCTAATGACAAAAAACAAAGAGATAACTCTTTCATCATGTTGTCATCAATTGTTCCTTTATTAGTAGCTTACCATGATAGATGCCAGGCTGATAGATTGGTTGATCTCCTCGGAACACTTAGGAATTTCTCAACTTTGACAATGGCGACAGAAAATGTCAATAATTTGTGTACAAAATTGGTCGAATATTTGTCATTTATGACAGAATCTGTCATTGACAGATATATTGACGCGATGTTATCTAAGCCGACAATGGAGACTGACAGGTTATTCCACCCTATATTGCCTTGGATTAACTCGATCTCCCTTGACTTAGAAAACAGAGTTGTTTCAAGAAACACAGACTTCATTTTCCTGAGATTTTCTTGTTTCTCTTTTGTCGAAAAAGTTCTCTCAATTTTCGAACCGATGTCAAGAAAAGTCGAGGACTCATTGGGAATTGTCATATGGCAATCACTCGCAAAGAAGTCTTCTTACGAGTTTGTCATCAACGCTTTGTTAAGTTTGGCTTTGAATTCTGAAAATTCACAAACACAACCAACTGTTGCTGCAATAATTCAAGCATTTTACGTGGCAGATCCAGAAAAAGTCGTTGACATTCTCGTCAAACATTTATCGTTCATGTATTGGCTCCATAACGATATTTTCGGAGGTTTAATCGTAAATAAGGTTAAAAGTGACAATGACGATAACTTGTCACATGGTCGGTTGATATTTAGCATCTTATTAGAGATATCGAGGACATCAGCTGCTGTTATATTGAAACATCTCCCTGTTTTATGCGGATTTGTTTTAATTCATAAATGTGACACATTGAAAACGATTGTCAGAAAAATTTTCACAGAAGTACAGCAACAACTTGGCAGGAAAGCTCCACAAAGACTTGAGATTATTACACACGAGTTGGATAATAACAGAGTTCAGTTAGCAACGAGTTATTACAACTTGATGAATGATTTCGATCCGAATTTGGCGAATGAATTCACTTTGTGTCTTTTGAGATGGGCTTTGTGTTGTGGAAACATCAAGAAATCAACACTCGCTGTACAGAGTTATACTGGATTACCTGTTAATCCTCCTGAGCCAAACATTGTTGGTTTGTTCTCAAGAGCTTTTTGGATTGTTACTTCCGCTCTTTCTGAAATAGATGACTTCAATTCCGCTGTTTTGGAAATAAATTACGTCGCAGAAATCGCAGGAGCTTTCTTAACAATGGCAAGGATATCTGATGAAAAAGGAGTTTTGACACATAACCCAGCTCTTTTCTGGGTTCCAGCTGAATTGTTGAAACTCAATTTCGCATCACAAAGTCCAATATTTAAACAGAGTTTGAAAGCTCTTTGTTTCTATTTTGAAAGGAAATCGTTATTCGAAGCAATTTCCGGACAAAATCCAGAAAGAAATGACAGTAATTGTTTCGTTCCAAGCGTGTTCATGAGATTCCTTGCTCCTTGGCATGAAGAAATCGAAGGATTCAGTTCTTTGATCATGAATTCGACTGTTGATGATTTAGATACATCTCTCGCAATCCGCGCGCTTTGTTTGATCGCGCAATGTGGTTTTCCAGCTCTGTTCTCGAGATCTGAGTCATGGGCTGAATGTTGCGCGTTGACATTGTTGCCGTGGATGTGGATGGTTTCGACAAATGATTACGGAAGAGCAATTTACGTTTCTGATGAGAACTCAATGTTTGTTTCAACTGCAAACAGTTTGGCTCAATATATCAAAGACGAAGAAGTCTCAAACGCTTTGAAGAACATGAGTACATTTAACTACATCACATTGTATAATGATGTTAAGTTAATCACTGAAAAATGCGGAAGAAAAATGTCAAAAGAAGAATTGAGAAGTTTCGGAAATTGGTGCTGCAATTTACTGAAATTCGGTGATGAAATGATGAAGATTCCGCTTTATACAATTGTTTCTTGGTTATCAGAAGAAGTCAAAGATTTGCCTGATTTGATGCCAGAATTCATTTATTCGGCAATTAATGATCAAAGCCATGAATTCGCTCCTTTCGTAAGTTTGTTGAAAGCGAAAGTTCCAGCGAACATCAAACTCGAACCGAAAGAAAAGAAGGAATTCCCGCAGATGCACATTTTCGAGAGAATCGTCGTCTGCGACATTCCTTCTCTCTACGATGTCAACACTTTGGGAGAAACAGAAGTTGTCTGCGAAGATGTCAACTCATTGGTTCCTATTTCGCCAATAACTCCTGCAATCAAAGATACTCCAACAGTTCAAAGAATAAGAAGTGCTCTGCAAAGAGTCCACTTCCCTCCATTCGAAAGCTGGGCACAGATGAGTGCAAGAGGTGCTGCAACAATGTTGGGAGTTACAGGATTGAGCGAAGTAAGGAGAACTAAATGGAATGCAGCTGCTGTAATTAACCAGGCTTTGGAGTTGTTGGCAAATGAACCTCCAAAGAATGAAGAGGAAGAAGAGGAAGAAGAACTTCCTGATCCAATGGGATTGATCCCTGTTGTTGCTTCTGCATTCATTCCAACAATGGATGATGTTAATGAAATAGGTGCAAATCTGTTCGATGAAGATGGAGAAGTTGGCGAATACTATGAATAATTTTTTTTATTATTAATTTTTTTATTCTATTTTTTTGTAATAAAGTAGTAGGATATGACGGGTTTAGTGACTTTTTTTGTTACATCTATATATAGACGATGCATTAAAATATATTTATTTATAAATTATTAAAAAATTAACATTAATTTTAAAATAATTTATTTTTTTATCTTTTATAAAAGAAGCTATATATAGATGATGTCAGATATTCCGCGATTAATTAAACATCATTTAAATCCTGAATGGGTTAAACTTCAATTTAAAAATGAAGATTGTGAATTATTAAATGAATATGAAAGCCAAAATAAGCTAATGAGGTATAAATATAATGATAAAGAATATTTAATTTCATGGAATCAATGGAGTCATAATCAAAGACCTCATAAACGAGAAGAAGAAATTGAAAATAATGAAATGGAAATCATTGATGACATTAAAGAGGATGGAATTCCTAAATTTTGTAGAAAAACCTTTAGAACTAAGTTAGGAGCATATAAACGTAGAGTATTAAATCCTGAATATCTTAAACATCAATTTAAAAAGGAAGACTGTGAATTATTAAACGCTAATGAATATGAAAATGCTAAATCAAAACTGAGATATAAATATATTGGAAGTGATGAAAGGTGTAAAGATAAAGATAAAGTTTATTCAGTTTCATATAATAACTGGCACACGTTAGGGATAAGAAAACATTTAGGAGATTATGGGAAATGTTCTGAATTCTTTAAATCTAGTATGTACGAGAGAATAAAAGAAATTAGAAATAATTATTTTCATGAATGAAAGATTCACTACCATAATGAAATAAAAAAAAATTTTAAAAAATAAACTTTAAAAATTCATGTCTTACGAAAAATTAAAACTTAGTTATGTTTATTATTTTATTTTTTTATTTTGTATGAAATGAGCGTCAAAACTAACAACGTTAAAAAATTAGGATTCACAAACGAGGAAATAAAGGATATATTAGAGGAGGTAGGTTATGAAGTTAATAAATATTATTTAAGAAATTGTCAAAAATTTGCCGAGTTATTAAATGATTTAGATTATGATGGAAAAATGAATAAAGATGATGTTATAAATTTCTTATATCCTACATCTGAAGAAGAAAAACCTAAAGAACCTGATGTTTTCCCCGAATATTATGAAGAACGGATTAAAGATGATGAATACAATGAAATTGAAAGACTGAAAAAAATAAGAGATGAAATAGATGAAAAAATTAAGGAATTAAGAGAAGTTGAAAAATATAATGAAAATGAAGTAGAGGGTTTAATGAATATCCCAGCTTCAGAATCAGAAGTACAGAAATCTCATGAAGAAAGATATAAAAATTATGTCTCAGAATCAACACAAAATTTATTAGATGGTGAAATAGACGAAACACTTTCAGAAGAAGGTACTAAATTTATACGTAAACATATGTTACAATTTATTGATAATGAAGAATACCCTTGTATCCTACTTTCACCACCTTTAGATTCCGAAAAATTCAAAAAGCTCTTAAAAACGTGACATATGCAACTAATACGATTAAAAAGAAGATCATGATATTTACACAAATTATTATTTAAATAAATGCACAGGTGTTGATAAAGTTTTTGATTTATTAGATAAAATATCAAAAAAACCATTGGAACATATAAAATTTTATGTGATTGCGGTTTCATTGTTGAAGATACTAATAATGTTTCATATGAAAGAACAGCACCGAAGGAAGATGAAGTGGAAAGGTCTATACCATTCGTTATTAAGAATATAAAAGATATGAAAACGTATAAGCATTATATTTATTCATTTATTTCAGAAAAACGGAAGCAACCCATAAAACATCTTCTCATCATTTTATAGCTATTCATACTTTCCTTTTCAAAGTTGTGAAATTAAATAAGACAGGAATTAGATTTAATGTGTCAGGATATGCATTCTTGAGTAAATTAAAATGTATTTGTCACGTCGCAGATGATAAAAATTTATGTGTTCTTAATTCATTTTATGGGCTTTAAAAAATAAACTTTATTTTTATTTATTTTTTAATTTTTTATTCTTACATAAATGAACAAAAACGGAACAGCTAAAATGAATGATAATCAAATTAGAGCAGAAGGTAGAAGGTTATTTAAACGCTTCTATAACATTCCTGATGGTGTTAATCCTAAAACTCGTAGAAGCTATTTAAATGAAGCAATAGATGCCTATGAAGGATTTGACATTTCATCAGAAAGTGAGGAGATTAGCGAGAATGTTAAATGTTAATATTGATTTCTATTATTGTGATCCTCAACCAGAAGACGTGGACATAAATAAGGTAGACTTTCCATTAGTGGAATCAATAATGATAGATCCAGAATTTGAAACAGTAAATATTTTATTAACAAGAGTCCATGTGGAAAACTTCACGCTGACAGAATAACAGACGTTGAAGCACTCACGGCATAAAGTTTGTCCATATTGTAAAGAAGAAGTTTATTCTATCCGTGATGATCCAGAAAGGAAAAACCAAAGAAGATTTTTAAAGCATTGTGAGAAATGTAAAGAAAATAATGGAAGATTAATTCAAGACGTTCAATTGCAAAAGACCCAGCAACCATATGCACCACATATTACGAAACAGAAGATATATCAGTGGTTATTAGCTCACAATTTGCAGAAATATTATAAACCGACAAGATATTTATTACTTTTGACTTCGAAACATTAGAGACTAAAGAAGAATTACAACTTTCTGAGTGTGCAACTTTGAACGCTTACTTAAAACCATTCATGGTATCATCAACGGTTAAATTAAATGATAAAACGTATACGAGGAATTTTTTGCTTAACTTCGAGTGATTCTTTTATTTCTGATTGATTGAGTTTTTATTTTCAACCTGTTCATTAGTTGTTGAATCAAATATGAGTCAATACAATGAATTATTGAAGCCGCAAACGGCGGGGACTTTGTCCATACATTAAATGAAAACAAAGGAAGCATTTAAAGAACTTCTAGATGAGGAATTCAATAAAGTGAATTCATAGTTTTAATTCGGGAAAGTTTGATTTAAATTTAATTCTTCGTGATTTAAACACTGCAAAATGGAAAATAAAATCAATGCTGGGTTCTCTTCTCAATTTAAGCAAATCATTGTAAAGAAAACAAACGTTCCATATGAATTGAGATTTATTGACATCAAAATTATATAGCGGGTGGGACATTAGACCAATTCACTCAAATTTCGGAAACAATAAATCACGTGTTAAATCCTTTTTCCCTTATCAATTTATCACATGGAGAATTACGAAGAAGAATTATATAAAGAGGAACCATTCACGAAAGATTCATTTTATTCAGCATTAACTCAAGAAACTATATCAGATATGATTATCAAATATATCTCAATGATGCTAAAAATTTTAAGAATAGATTAGAATATTTTATTCATTATTGCAATAAAGATGTTGAAATTATGATTGACCCAATCGATAAAATTATTGAAGAAACATTTGTTTATAAAATTGATATGCTTCATAATCTTTCTTTATCATCGAATCTTCAAATTCGTTACGCTTTAGCATATAAAGACTTTAATCCTAATGAAAAATATCCTGAGGAAGAGATAGAATCAAGTTTTGAATTACAACCGAAAAAGTATTGGAAATATAAAATTGAATCAATATAAGAAAACAAGATGAAAAAGCAGAAAGAGATACTAAAAATAATGCTTCAAGGATGATTTTCAATACTATCACGATTTAATCCTTTCATCTAAATGCAAAATGTGTGGTAAAGCGTTACATATGCAAATAAACCAACATTGGATAGAATCGATAATGAAAAACCACATACCAAAGAAAATTGTCAGTTAATGTGTTGTTATTGCAATGTCGTAAAATCAAATAAAGATGAAGATGTTCAACGTTTAAGAATCAATTTAAGAAATTATGCATTAAAAAATAATTTACCAATGACTTTAGATTCAGTTGAAGCTTATCACATTCTCCGTAATGGAATTACTGGTGGTCTATCAAATGTTCAACATCGTGTTAATCTTAAAGGAATCACGCACATTAATAACTTTCATATAGTCCAGAAACTAAAACTGTATCAAATGAGGACACTTCCAACATCATGACTCATTTCGTTGGTGTTGATTTTAATTCATTATATCCTTCATCATTTTCATCTAATCCTCATGATTTCATTCAATATACTGACCATAAAATGTATATGCCGGGAAGATTGAATGGTGTTATCATTTGTGATACAGCAACAAAGAAAGCAAAAGCACTGGGAATAATTAAGAAGAAAAATACTTTATTCGTGGCTGAAGTAAAGGGTCACATTGATGAAAAATAGATTAATGATTACATAAACTTTTTACCGATAATAAGAACTTAGATATTATCACAGATGAAAAAACAATTGGCAGTTTTATGTATAATTACATGAAATCAAACAATCTACCAGTTGACCAGAAACAGAGGAAATTAACTCAGTTAGCATCAACACACAACCAATATCAACCATTTTCTTCTTATTATCTTTGGTATCTAATAGACAGATTTCATTTTATCATCGATGATATTCAATCAATTTTAACATTTACGAAAAACACTTGTTTTAATGAATTTGCGAACAATTTATGAACGAAAGACAAAAGGCTGAATTAGAAGGAAATAAAGGAAAAAGTTTATTTTGCAAGATTTCACTTAATGGATCATATGGTTACGATGCAATGAATACACAAAATTACGCAAAGACTAAAATAATGAATGCACAGAAGGCACGCGTTGCATGTATGTCAAATAAGTTTAAAAACATAAGAGAAATAGGAGAGGATACGTATCAAGTGATGCTCAAAGATAGATTTTATAGATGTGATACATGTTTACAAGAGGCATTCTTCACTTTAGATAATGCTAAATACTGGTATTTGGTTTTCATTTATGATTTTATGTATAAATGCATGAATGTTAATCGTTTTCATTTCATTGAAGGTGATACTGATTCATCTTAT